TTTCAAAAGTACTGGTTTGGTACTGGTATCAGATAAAACCTAAACGATACCCATCGCTACATGAGAGTAAAGCCCTCAGCTGGACACCTGCTGGTCGGTCACATGTTACCTGTGAGCCTCAGTGTAAAAACGGCTAAACCTCCTTAATGCACTTCAGTAACACCTTCATTTAAACTGCATGTGGCAGAAACACAAGAGACTGATTCTGGTCCTGGTTCTGTGTCAGTGTGTTCAGGTGGAGACCTCACCTTCTGACCTTTGACCCCATCGCAGTGACACAAAGACTTCCCGCTGCAGTGGCACACCTGCACAGAGATGAGAGGAGTAGTCAACGATGTTTGAAGGCCTGATCTCTGTTTCCTACCCTGAGAATCTGCAGGCCTGCGGTTTTTCTTTCACTGTTAGGCAAAGTTAGTTGACTCCATGATGCAGAGCCAGCGTACTTACAGGGTAAGAAAGGGGGAATAATGACTCAGTACTTTAAACTGCTTACAGTGTAACCATCTCTTCTTTCAGTTCTACTTCTAATACTACATAAAATGTTGCCACAGTGTGTCTTCTTGTTACCAGCTTGTATTCCAGTGAGTATTTATAGGTAATAATCTAATAACAGGGTAAACAGCTGTATTATAAAGTGCAGCTGTGACGGTTCTTCAGAACATCGTCACACCTGCAAACCCATCACCTGTGATGTCACCGTCTTGATTTGTCTGCAGTGATTCCTGAGTGACTCACACACTCAGGAACATCTCCATCATGTGTCCTGCAGCTCGGCATCGTTTAGTCTGGCCTGACCTTAAACTCGGGCTGAAGCCTTTGTCTCTCTGCTGAGCACGTCCCGCCTGGTTCTTTATCAGTCAGACATATTTCTGTGGGGTTAAACCCAAACACCTTCATGTAACCTGCAGGTGTAACTGTGGTCTTCCTGTGATAACCCGAACTAGCAGACAGCAGGGGGGAGCGCTGATATCATCTTATCTTTCATTCCTGTCTCACATCTACAAGACTGCCTCCATACGAGATGCCTCGACACGTTCTGGAGCAGGGGATGGTGGGTAATGTAGCGCCGTGATCAGACGCAGAGCTGCAGACGAAGTGTCTGAAAGTATATCAGATTATTTCCATTTTGAGTCAGGTGAACCCGAACCACCTGTATGGTCTTATCACGGCAGACTGACAGACGTTCACAGGGAATCTGACTGATTTCTTTTTGTGCGCTGAAGGAAGATTTTCCTCCCTGATTTTATCGTGGCAGCAATATCGAGGTCACATGGCCCCGCGTCGGTGCTTTGTACGTCTGACGCACGTGCCTGAAACAAAATAAAGAAGCACTTTGAGAAATGTGTTGGCTAACACGACCCGCTTCCTGTAACAGTCCGAGGAAGTTCTCGGGTCACAGTTTCTCTCTGTTCCCTTACAGCAACGGCTTTAAAGGTTTTGTACCTGTGGGAAACCAAAATATCAGGGCACACCTGATCATGTGACACTAATGTGTGACTAACAGCCTTTCTGCAGCATCGGGAGCTGCGGTCCTGCTGCTGCTGGCTCAGATCCAGCGTGATATTGAAGTCGGCCAACATGATGTTTGGCTTCCAATCAAATGATGTTAATCGTGTTAGCATTAGCCAAATTCAACAGGGCTGAGGGTTGTTGAGCATTTCTGATCCAGCTGAAGCATCGGCGTAACTTTGTGCTGAACATTGGGGGGGTCGAGATCTCTGTCTAAATAAATAAATCTGGGTAAATTCCCAGATGATTAAACATGCAACTGTTTTGCTGGTAATAACTGAAACGAGTACAGAAAATAAAACAGCCTATTTATGCAAGATAATTCATTATTTTATTGGGGGGGCTATATTGGTGGGGTCT